CTGATATTTCATCAGGTCAGTTGTTTTGCGCCCGAAGTCAGATTTTGAGCTTTTTTGTTGCTTCACGAAAAAGTTAGATTAACGAAAAACATGCGAAAATGAAAATGCTCCTATATACCTCTAAATTGACAATATTAATGTTCCCCTTGATAAATTTAAGTGAGTTGTAAACAAATTAAGAATCATTTTTGTCCAAATTTGGATGTATCTAGTCAACAAAGGGGCTGGACCCTCTTCGATGTCTACAGCTAGTCAACAATCTTCAGCCGAACATGTCCACCCCAACACACCGGGAAACCAGAAACCGTTGCCCGAGTCTTTTATCCAAAATAACCAAGCACTGTTAATCGCCATACTCCATTCTCTGTCTAACTCATCGGCAATGAGCTTCCAAAATCACTTCACTGCGCATTCGTCTCCCCTTCTCTTCTCTGCTCTTGTCTCTCTATCTCCTCGTTTGCTCCCTTCTATACTGCCTGAACACGGCCGGTTGACAGTTTCAGAGCCTCCCGACTTCTTATGAGTTCCAACCGCCATAGCTTGGGACTGCCTCACTCCTTCCGTCCGGAAAAAAACTTTTCCAAAACCTCGGCATCGCTCCGGCTTCGGCTTCATTTTTCCTTACTTGGGCTCTAGCTGGCTTTAAATAGGTCCATGATCTACTTCAACAACAGTCAATTTGATTATTTCAGGCAAAACTCTACACGCCTTTTCTTCTTTGTTGGTTTCGGGCAGATTGTAGACTTTTAGATCATTCCACAGCAAGCGATAAAGTTGAAATATTGGGACGAAGTCACGAAGATAGCGCAATTTCCCAGATGTTTGGGACACAAAATGGCTTCGCGTGCACCACTCCATGTGGACAAGTAACTTAAAGACCGCCTGCATCTTACCCTTTATGTGTCCATTTTATCGGGCATCCCTAGCCATACGCTTGCCAACGCCTTATTGTGGCGTTAACAGTTGTGACAATGTGACCCGTGCAATTTGTCACAAACTTGTGGAGTAGCAAAACACGCCTAGAGTGGCGGAATCAACCGATGACCACTCAAAGAGTATACGATATACATTGCATGATAATGTGATTAGTAGGCCTAAGCTTTCTTGGCTTGAAAAGTAACGCTCTGTGTGATTAGCAGAATCTCCCGAAATATAGCCCCGATCCAGTGATGAATGGATTCTTTGCGCCTGTTATGAGTTCATTAGTCTTCGCGTGCACGATCAACAAACGGAAGAATATCTAGTTATACGCGCGGAACCTGTTGGATGTTCATTCAAATTCCCCAACTTTCCGATCCTCTTGATGTAGGTAAAATGAAGACTTAATTTATATTATCAGATTCCAAGACAATAAAGTACATCATTTTATCATAATTAATGATAATTGGTTGTTTATTAATGAGTGAATAATCTTGTCATCTCAATAAAATCTTAACAACAGCGCTCCGTAATTTAAAAACCATAAAGGGTTTATTTAATCATTAAAACCTTGGTGTTGAATTAACACAATAATGGTTCAGTATTACCGCGAGTGGATAATTAAAAACTGCAGCTTAATTGATTGAAAAGACACCGACCTCGTCAGTCCGTGTGCAATCCGAGGGAGATATAAAGCACGAGGTGTGTAAACCGGGCCCATTTTGCCGAGAGTTAAAAAGGTGTCAGGCTGAACAGGGACGGTGGTGGCAAAAGCCAGGCTAGCCAATTCCCTTCCCCCATGTCGTCGAGCGTGCATGCCAGCTAATATTCTCACCCTCTCCGGCTGTGCATTTCGAGCTCTCCCCCATTCCCTTCCACGGCTTCCCATGTCTCCTGAAGTGGGCCACAAGACGCGTCCATCCTACACTCGAGTGGCTCGGGGGAGAAGGGCGAGCCGTGATATAAGCTGCCTGCATCCTCGGCAAAAAGAACGGGACCCCGGCAAGTGGCTGTGTGTTCTGGGGAGGGACTTTTGAGAACCCAGTAAAGAGAGAAGAGAAGAAAAAAAATATAGGAGAGAGAGATGGATGAAGGGTGAGCCGAGGCTGGAGAAGAAGAAGAAGCTTAAGAGCCAAGGGGTTGTTTGTACAGCTTCGCCTCTCCACCGCGTCAGGAGTCACAAACAAGCGCAAGGAAATAAATTACCAGATCGCAGCGCGGGATCTGAATGGGGGCCCCTCTTGCTTATCTCTCTGCCAGCGTACGCGGGCCCTTCATTCAACGGTAGGGTCCCGGACAGCTGAACGCACACACACGGTTAATCATAATCCATTTGATTTTTCATACCGGGGAAGAGCGACTTGAGGACACCGTACCGTCGTTCTGCCCACTCTGTCCCTCATTCACGCTACCTCTCTTGTATCCGTGAGGTTTGTATTCTCTCCCCTTTCTTCCTCTTTTTTTTTTTTAATCAGCAGTCTATTGGCTTGACATTGATGGAGATGTCACGTGGTCTAGTGGCTGTCATTCTGGCCATATTACCGGCACTCCTTGAGAAGTCCTCGAGTCCCCGGCTTGTCATCCGTCATGTCAGCTCTCCCAGCGGCCGTCCATGAATTGCTTCCCAATCTACTCCGGGGACGTTTCCATCGTATAATGCCTCTCGCTATAAAAAAAAAAAAAAAAAAAACACGACCTCCACAAAAAAGCCAAATCGCCGATTCGCTTCACTCCTTTCTCCCCAGTTTTAAAGCAGCGCAGTGGACACAACACCATCGATCTACACGTTTTAAAATTCAACAAATCACGGTGCCTAAGCCCTTCTACTTTTCTTTCTTCTTTTTTTTTCTCTCCCAAGTTGAGAAGCAAGCACGCGTGGGCTCAGAGCAACGCTGTATATGTCTCTCACTCGCAACGTGTGTCCCCTTAGGCTTCACCTGATCTTACGGGAATGGAAGTTTCAATCCCGGGGAAGCAAAGCGCTCTGGAGAAAAAAATTAGAAACGTAAGGAGGGAGTCAGCCAAGAAGATAGAGAGGGGGAAACTTTAGACCCCGTGCCCCCTGGAGCTTGACGGCTGACCCAGCCGTACGTTACGTGACTCGGACCCGGCCAGTCGATAACAGCAACGGTCGTCTTCCCGCGGCAGGTCGTGTCATTTCGATAACGAATCACAAACGCACAACCTGTGATTAAAATATCTTAAACAAAAAAAACGTCATTCGTTCACAATTTCACATCGATTTTGAGCGACCTGTAATGTCAGCTCAAAAATCAAGTAACCCAGTTTGATGACGATTTTGGCATGTAGATCACCATATCGGCACATAGCGTGAAGAATCCGTCATCCCCCAAGATGACCTTGCTGCTTAATTTCACAATTCATTGCGCTCTTGCTCTTGAAAAAAACTCCAGAAAACCTTCAAAATACAAGTTTATTATGCATGTTGATATTTGTTTGAAACACACACACTAGCTTGTAAATTCCCTCCAAAATTAACATAATAATATCATATTTAAAGCCCTCATCTTGAGTTTTGCTTGGCGTGTTCCCTCAAGTCCTGCAAGACATCTCAATAAGGTTGTCCAATCCACTAGGCACCAGGCTGTTACGTGGAAAAATGCGCATGCGCTTTCAAAATGGCGGCGGTGTTCTTCTGTTTCCGCAGTTATTTGTGTACACCAAACTGAAATGCAGAGTTCTTTTTTTATTTAATTCTCATAACGCTTATCAAGATTCAGTGCTTGGCCAATTTGCCACAACCGGGCAGCTTTCCAATCGATCAAAATGCACACCACGTGATCGGGACTGACTGACGAACCAGAAAAATCAAAATGTCATTAAATTTAAGTGAACAGATCATCGCGAGCGCTTAGGATTACCTACCCTACAAGTTCCCTCTGTTTTTTTTCAACGGAGAAGTTTGTCTCGTGGTGATGAGGGGGCTATACGCGCGCTGGTGACGGCCTGTCGTAACAGACAAGAGAACGAACGTCAGGGCGCCAGGGGGCGAAAGAATCACAGCGATGGCTGGGCGATGGCGGAATGATAATTGAGAAAATCTTGACTCGAACGACTACATAAAGAAAACCTTCACTGTGTATAATTGTGCCCATTTCTATTGTTCAGATTCCCGTAGTGCTCAAATTTTCAGGGTTTTTTCCCGGTGTGTGTAGAAAATTGAAAGGTTCGGAAGAACAGTCACGGCCAATTTTTATTTCTGTGAGTTAAATTCTCGCGTAGGCATGTTTCATCAACAATACTCCACCGGGTCGAAAATCAGGGCACCACACTACAGGACCATGATTGTTTTTCTTGGTTTTTCGAGCATCTACGCACAACAAAACGTCAAACAAGTCAGTATAACAATATGTGCTATAAAATGCTAACCCCCAAATCCATCCATTTCTGAAAATTACAGCAAAAGCAAATGTTGCAGGACCATATTTTATTCAGAGCGAGCACTGCTCAAGAATATAAAACAATATAGGTATATTTAATTAACAACTCTAACAACTGGCACAACAGAAACGAAAGATCATCGATATAAGACTTCTGTCGACAACCCACCCCCGACGAACCTGACTGGAACACCTTTGTATCCCTGGGCCACGGATCGATACCTCCCGTCTAATTGCTAAGAGACAAGACTGACAATATATAGGAGAAGTGATTGGATTGGCGCTCGCGCGGGGAAAAAAATAACAAGTGGAAAGAAAGACAAGAAGGAAACAAAAGTGGCCACATTTTGCCCTCTCGTGCTCCGTCACTGATTCATCTTTGACATATCACGCTGTTACGATGGTGAGCTATTAATTTATGAAAAAAATCGCAGGTTTGTACACAGGATTTTGAGTCTTACGGTGGAGGTGTTTGATTCAATATTGTTAAGCTTTCGTGTACTCGGAGGCGCGTTGCTCATTATCTCATTCTTTTTATTTGTTCCAGAGAGAGTCAGTGAAAAGACCTCTGTGCACCTGACTAACTGACTCACTGAGTCAGTGACTTACGGACTAACTGTCACTTGTACAGGGTGTCTAAAAAAAAGAGAGGTAATCCTACTTTAAAGGTTGGTATGGCCAGACTATTTGTTTACAAGCAAGAAGCATGGTATCATCTTAAAGCTGAAGCTGTGCGCTTTTCAATGATACCTTGGGTTGCATTCCAGGGTCACGCATCATGGAGCACCATTGTCTGGATTTTATTCACGATCATGAGTAAAACACTTAACAGCAGAGATCATTCTCACAATGTTCTCACATTGTCCAAGGCCCTCCCTCCGCTGTCGTACGGCAGCGATGTTTTCCAGAGGTCTCGCTGTCCTTGGCCTTCCTGAACGTCCTTTGTTGCGGTTGAGGCTGGTTCCGTATGCTTCATACTTTCTCACATTGGCCCAGATTGTTTCCTTTGCTGGTGGTTCTCGGTCTGGGAGGAATGCTTCTCCAAAGGCACCCTGTGTAGCCTGCAAACTTCTGGTTTCATGCCATTTCTTGACCACAAAGATTCTCTGTTCTGCCGTTTGCTGAACCATCGGGAAAACCTGAGGTTTACACACTGTCTGAAGGCCAGAATGACATGGGTTCAAAAGTGAACCAACTACATTTTTGCACCACAACTTCAAGACAGTCGTGCTCCACAAGATGCGTGACCCTGGAATGGAACCTAAGGTATCATTGAAAAGCACACAGCTTCAGCTTTAAGATGATATCACGCTTTTTGCTGGTAAGCATATGGTCGGGCCATAATAACCCTTTAAAGTAGAATTACCTTTATTTGAGACACCCTGTATATTAGCGTGGTAGTTGATTGTTGCAGAGCGCCTGTCAGGGATGCCGTATATGGCTGTATCGGGTCCCATCTGCGTAAAACAATATGCATGATAAGACATCCAGCGAATAGCCATTCTGAGTCAATTGAAAAGAATTGTGCGCACGTTGGACCAGCTGCAGTTGCTTGTCTTGTTTTTCTTTTTATGATAATGGCCATGATCGGAAAGATTGCCACGGATAATCGCAAGGTCTCACTGCTGAAATTTTTGAAAATTGTTGCATCGTTTGTAAAAGAAAATGAAATAACCAATCAGTCAGAATGGCCAAAATGGCGCAAATCAGGAACTAGAGTTAAAGGGACATTACGGCCTGGAATGCGCCCGACTGGGCTACAAAACCCGTTTTAAACGAACTAATATTAAATAGAACGAGATTTTAAAGGTAGATTATAAACGTCCCACAACCATTATTTAAACACTTGCGTTGGAGAAAACTGGCCTTTTTTCAAATCTGCTCCTAATCTTTCATATTTGGTTATTCCCTATTTTCTTTGCAATTGTTTACACCTGTGAAATGGTAAAACCGGCTAGACTGATTCTCTGACCTTACAACTCCTCAAAGTCTATACATTGCTCCGTTTAATCTTAAGTGGGGTCAGGGAACCAGACTACAAGAACATGGTTGGTTTTCTTGGATTTTATAGCATCTCCGAACCCAAAACGTGAAGCAAGCCAGCTTAACAAAATTTGCTACAACATACTTAACCTTCAAATCCATTTATTTCTGACAATAAAATTGCAGCAAAAGCTAATTTTGTACATTCCTTTTAAGAAATTCCAATTGTTGACCTCACTGGCACTGCAATTTGCTACAAAATAACAATGCAGTTGTCACTCTCCAAGAAGTGATCTGTCACAATGATGATGATACTAAGCTCCCTTCGCTTCACCACTGAAAATTCGGAGCTCAAGCGTTCCTTGTCGAGTCCATTGTCGGGATAGAGTTACAGTGTTTGGACATAATTTTCTGCCCGGCTCTCCTTCCAAGTACGGCACGCTGAACGGACCACAGACCAAGCACTCGGCCGTTCATTGTCCCTTCTTTCCCCACGGGTTGATTGTGGCAGGACCGCCGGCCCGGGGCCTGACGAGCGATGGGCGGGCGTAGAACACCGGTACCTTCGGGTACTCTATGCGGTTCTACTCCCTTCCCGGAGGTGTTGGCTAATTAACAGTAACCATTAACCAATATTCACACGCACAGGAAAATGCTTGGGACAGGCATGGTATCAGGAAAATCAGAATTTTGAGCCGTTGATTCTTTGCCACATCTCAGTACATAACAATTAAATGTCCCCAAATTGCATAAAAAAGGACATTTAGAATGCGAAAGCCTACAAGAGACTATATAGCTATTGAGGACGCCCTCTCTTACGTGTGAGGGCGCTATCTGCAAGAGAGCGCCACCATTGGACACACAAATTTAGAAGATTCCTTTTGGCATGTTTGGCATCGGTGTCAGTTTGGTGATACCCACTTATGATAACAAAAAGATTCGTTCATGCATAAATAGCTATGATAAAAACAATTAGACCTATTTTCGTTCACCTTTATCCCGCAAATGCACTCCCAGCCTCGTCGTCATGCCGGCAGAGGGCGGGCTTTCCGTGTAAATCCAAGATGGCGGGTGTATCTGCGCTCATTGTTTACTTTGGCGCCACTCGGAACTTGGCACTTCAAACTCGAGCATCGGGGCTAGCAGCATCGGTCGCTGAACCGAAGGCCTGTTTCAAGAGCTTTGCAAGCCTTTACCATCAAATAAAGCTCTTAGCCATAGCCAGTCTGGCGGCTCGTGTTGAAACTATTCGTCGGTGAATCGATACTGCATAGTTTCAGCATTGCCCCATCCAATCCCAAGGTGTGTCATCAAGTGACAGCTATGACTAAGGCTGGTTAAGGCTCATGGAACGACCTCTCTCTAGTCATAAGGAATATAATGCTTGAACTAAGAGTACAGTATACATGCAGCGCATCGATCCTTTTCCAAAAAAACCCCCAAGTATTTGAAAATTGTATCAATATGCTTTTCCCAGTGATGCTTTGACATTCGCATGGAGTCAAATAATTTTGATTATGCCGTTAGCAGAAACAGAACATTAATCATTAAAACTTTAACCTTTCTTTTCACACTAAACCTGAAAATTAAATATTGGTGAATTAAGCTTCATTATTAAGCTTCATTATTACTATTTCTTTAAGAAAAGGTTGATTTTTGTTACTCTTTATTCAAGACAGATAACGAAACATCTTCCAAATTTCTGAAAAGGGCATTGAAGACAGTTTGGATGTAAACAAACACACTTCTGAAAACGAATTAATGAGACATGTCGGCATGCAGAGACGAAGAACTGCCCACCTTGCAAGGCCAAGAAAAACTGACCGTCCCTGGCCGACTATTTGAAGTTAATCCCGCCTAATCGCACGGACTAGAAACGGATACCCCACTCGCTGAAGTGCAAAAGGGTCGATCAACTCCGTGGCGTCAGTGGCACGCATCGCGTTTGCGCGCACGACCCCCGACCCCGGTCCTCTCTGGCCAGCGGTCCGGGCTCCGTTTCCTAAATTGAGGTGAGCCGGTGATTTTTTTTCTTCTCCGTGTCGCTGTCGTTCTCTCACTTTCTCCCCTTTTCCCAATCCCTTGTTTTCCCGCTCACCGGTGGAATCGTCGATGGAGCAGCGAACGGTGAGCTGAGCATATAGAGGGAAGTAAAGCACCGAAGCCCGGGGGCAGGCAGCGTGTTTCCCACCGCAACCGTATCATCTGTCTGCCCGGAGAAAAAAGCTTCTTCTTTCTATCAATAAACCGGATCCCTCACAGGTACCCCCCAAACTGAAACCTGTTACATACAATGTGGGCCAGCTACCTATACCACCGCAACCACGCTAGCTGTCTGCTCTCACTCTTTTGATAGAAAACAAATCCAGAAGCGAGAGATCAATAGAAACCAGAACGATTAAGACGAACGGCGCGCGCACCCGACCGTCAAAATGGCAACGCGTGATCAGTTCGTTATTCCCGCCAATAGTTTGTCGCGAAAGTCATTTTCCAAATTCGCGCCAAAATTATTTTTCGTTAAGTGGGGGGGGGGGGGGGGGCATGAGTGGAACAATATGCAAACTACGATGTTTTGTTATCCTTTCTGTAAGATGACACCACGCCCTAGCACCTATAGCTGTTCAACATAATAGCCTGGAGAACAGACGTTAACGCTGTCCTTAATGGAAGCCATAGCATTTTCTCACCGTCCTGTGACATTTTGACAAGTTACCTATTCTTCTACACGCACTGATTCAATAAAAGATGCAGTTTTTTTTCCATTCCTTTTTTTTTTCATTTTCATTACTGGCTCCTCTTTCGGTTTGGGAATGAGAAAATGTTCTCCCCCTCCAAACGACTCGAGTTGAGCGACGTTTCTGGCAAGCACTCGCCATCGATTGGCAACTGATTAAACAAAATTATCCCGTTATTGAAGCCAGGCAAGGCGATAGATCAGAGAGCACGCTATGGGTCGAAACAGTGCTGCGATTTTCGCTGGCTGCGCAGCCGTTCAATCAAGCGCCGGCCATCCCTCCGGGCCGCCGCTCACCCACCGCAGTTCTCCAGCTGGAGTGCAGGTGGCTGTTGGATCCGAGCATCTCTCCCAAAAGCCCCGGAGTGAAAAAGTTTGGATTCAGAAAGCCTATCCTCTCTCCTTCTCTCTCCTCATTTTTTTTTTCTTGGTTCGGTTGATGAATCGGCTCATTCTTTCGGTTATCTTGGCTTACAGTCAGTCACCACCGTCACTGGCAGTCTTGAAAGCTAGCGCGGTTTGATGTCTGGAGTCACTCACTCGCCGCGACTGGTACCGACGACCGAGAAAGCCGAAGCTAATTCCGCCGAGACTTCGCATTGATCTCTCGGGATAACTTCTTGCTTGTGCTGCGCTCGCAACTATCGCCCACCGTCAACACAGTCTGCTATTCTTGGAGAATTGTTTCTGATATTTTTGTTTCCGGTGTTTTATTTTCGTCCGTGAAGCTGCTGTCATGGGTGAGTCTGATCTTTGGAGAATCAAACGAATCATTTGGTGATTTCGCATTAGGCCTACTGTTACCTTCTGTCAAAAATGAATGTTTTTTTTTCTCGTTTTAAAATTGACTTAAAACGTAATGAAGAATCGTATAAAATGACTTCGACAACCTTGACAATTTTAGACCCCAAACGTGAGATCTCATTGTTATATAGTTACTTTTTGTTTCTTTTTTTTAAATAAATATTTAATCGTTGTTTAATACATGACATTGTGAAGGATTTGTGATTGGCTATAGACGATATTATTTTATGTAGTGTGATTTTGAACAGTTTCAAGTCCAAAGTCTTGTACATAATATCGCACACACACGAGACAAATAGACATCGCAGTGTTCAGTGAAAGGCCTTCATTAAACAATTCGAAGAATGAATAAATTTAATTTTCAAATCTGAGGAGAAAATCATCACCCAGTTCTTTATTAAATTAGTAGACTTTAAACCTGAAAATGTCACTTTGCCTAATATTTCGTCAGAGGTGTAGCAAAGGCACAGACGACGGAATTTGAGTTGGAGAGCAACTATACAAGCAAAATGTATGCTTCGAAAATATGTGATAAAATCTCATTAATAGAATCCATGTAGAAGCGATATCAAGTCCGGTCAAGATAAGATCATCTTTTGATTTTTTTTAGTAATTTACTTTTAATCTTAGCCTATACTAAACGTAATTTCAGTGTCGGTACAAGTTTTAAACATTAAACTGAATGGACGTACCGTTTCTGAGATCTATATTATACAATGAGCACCGTTCACTTTACACCATGATTTTGTTTAACTATATTTTTGTTTGCATTTTACTTTTGATATGATGGGTTTTTTGTGTCGGGAAATTGCATCTAATATTAGGTATTTGCCCTTCACCGACGTAGTTTCATAAAACTGTACACTCGGTGTGGTCCGAGGACTTCCGATAAAAACATCACTAGCGGTACGAGTAAGCAGGAGGTCGTGGGTTCAAATCCCGCCTGAGTAGCTTATATGTGAGTTTTGTTTGTGAGCCCTCGGATGTCGCTGAGTATACAGTCGGCTAAACGAAAACCTAATTTTAAATGCAAACTTTCTTCAGTTTCCTCTCAAAAATGTGTTACGTTTGGGATTGTACCCTTTGGCAAAATATTTTACTGTCAAAGACAAATATTTCTGTTACAAATCGTGTGAATTTATCCACTTCAGTTCAATTAAACCTGCATCTAATATCAATCGGCATTTTCAACAAATTCTGTCGTGAAAAAAAGATTCCGCCAGGATTACAACGTAAGGCCCCCAAACTCATAAACGGTTTGTGTATTTCTGGACAATCCGGCCGTTATTCGGTCTGCGACAGCTTTTAAATCTTATGTCTGACATTCTTACAGAAGTTTATATCTCCAAAACCAATAAAAAAGCAGGGTAAAAATTATGCCTAAAGATAAAAAAGGCGCACAAAGATACAAAGGTGCCTAAAATGACAGGATGTAACCTATCATCCTGAAAAGATTTTCCCAATCCTGATAAACGTTTTGTCTCGTGAGTACGACAACATTATATTGCCAGGATGACGACCAAAATCCTGCTAAAATCCCGTCTGAATGTCAAATGCTGGTTTTCATTGAACAATCCAATACACCTGCTGTAAGGCTATAATCTTAATTGGTTTCTCTCATCAACAGGTCGCACGCTGCCCAACCCCGTGCCCTGCAAAGTCTGCGGAGACAAGAGTTACGGGAAGCACTACGGTGTCTACTGCTGCGACGGGTGCAGCTGCTTCTTCAAGCGGAGCATACGGCGAAACATGCGGTACACTTGCATCGGTAAGGGCAACTGTCTCGTGGACAAGGCGCGGCGGAACTGGTGCCCGTACTGCCGACTCAAGAAATGCTTCGGCGTCAACATGAACAAAAATGGTAAGACCTGGATTTGAAATTGCTGAATATAAAAACACAATCATCGCATCTTGGCAAGTATAAGATGAAACAACAGGAGCAGACTGTCTCGTAAAAAATATTCTTCACTTAAAGTGAAATTCCTTGATGAATTACAATAATTTCCGGATTTCCGATATTTTTCATTTGCTGTAATAAAAACAGTGCTGGAATAACACACAGCTCTTAGTGGAAAGGGGCGTTTTTCAATCCATGACATGTGTTTTGTTCATTTAAGCGACTTACAAAAACTGGCTCATGTATCGAACGATTTTTATAATCCTCCGTTGATAAACACAATTTTTCGTCCTTATTCGGCAGTGTGATTATTTTCGCAGATCAATTTCGTGGTACATCATCAGATATCAAAAATATTAAATATTAAAAATATACAGCCAGTCTAAAATATAAATTCTATGAGAACAGATATTCATTAAAAATTCAGATTTAAGCACCAATCATATCCAAGATACATTTTATTTGAACAGAAAAGCTGGAAAAATATGACATCATTTGCGAAACTCAGGCAAATATTTTAAAGCGGTCAAGGCATGACATTGATATTTTTTTCATTCAATGTTTAAACTTTTACAAACAGGCTAAATTTGTTTGTCATTTTTGCTTTCAAAGAGTTTTAAAAGAAAGTCTATAACATTTCCCGTCATTCAATACCATGTCTACCGCTTCAGGTACAGGGCATGGATAAATAAGTTTTAACTCAGTGATAAATTTCACGTGATCGTTCATTCCATCGTCAGCTAGAAATTGTGCTTTACAAAAAATCACGAAAGTGTATCTTTAAGTTATATTTAAATTTGACGATCACAGCTTAAATGTACATAGGATCATTTGCTTTCCATGCGTTTTGGTCGTTTCCCATAATAACACAACTCAAATTCCAAAAGAAGAATGTTCAAAACCTACAACCTGCTGGTGTTTCAACGTAGTGGATATTACACTTTCGGAGAAAAGGGTGAAAAGTTATGCACAACTTTTTGATCACCAAACACATTTTGTTAATATTACTTTTAATTTCCAACGGTCATTCAATTGACTTATTGTTGGAAATCACCAGTGCATTTTCTTGATTTTTCGAAATGAAAGCAATCCAGATGGACTAATTTCACGCGGTGTTTAGTACTAGTACGATCTTTAATCCAAGTAAGCTTTCTGTTCATAAAATGCAAATCATTCTTTATGCCTTTAAAAATGGGACGAAAGTATTGACCAAAACAAACATTACGAACGTCGGTTACAGAAAGTCAGATACAGTTACGAAAAAGCAAGATCTTTGATCGAAAAAAAAATCTAAAATCATATGACTTTCGATGTCTTAAAAGCGTCTCGACAAATTTGCTCGTTTAATTAAAACGGATAAAGCTCAACAACTCGCTCGCAAGTTTATGCCCACATTAGCATTATCCCCGGTCACTGTACTGGCACGCTTGCATTAAGTGCCGGCTCATTAAAATGTAGCTCTTCTTTTCATTAAACCAGAGATTCTCCTAAAATAAATGAAAAGAAAAAAGCCCCGAGTATTAGGGGAGGAGAACTCGCCAATGAAACCTGAGTGGCAAGCAATTAAACACAACAGCCTCAGCAGTCAGATGTTTCCGCCGCGCCGTGCCCCCGCGCGCCGGAGCTCACTTGGGCAGAAAGGGGGGAAAAAGCCGTCTTTTAAGAAATCAACAATTGAATTTTATCTTTATACTTCAGGGCTACAAGACTAAAAACACACATACACACCCACACACAGGACAAGCCCGCCATGAGATTTGAGACTACAGGATGTCGGTGTCTCTGTTTACAATGAGACGTTGCAGTAGCATTTTACGGAGGGGGAGGGGGGCTTTGTACTGAAAAGACCGCTGTTACCTTTTGGCGGTGCACTGTTAACTGGTCGGATCTTAAGCCAGCGCCAGGTCTATTCAGAGAGACTGATTAAAGAATGAGGGGGAAATCACGGCACGCGAGCGCACGCGAGTAAGGCGGGCATTGTCGACGGCTAGCCGCGTGGAAGAAAAAAATACCGGCCGTACAAAACGTCCGTCGCGTGCGGCGCGGCCGAGATTTATTCAGCTTGAGCATTAAGGGTGTAGTGTTTCTGGTCAGGGCTTTCCTCCCTAACAAAACCACCGTCCCGAGTTCTAGTGTGGCGCTGAGAGAAGGTGTTTGCCGGCCGTGCACGTGGCAGGGGCCCGGGCGACACGGGGGGAGAAAGATCAAAGATCACTGGTTGTTAGAATTCTTGCGTCAGAGCCGGCCGGGCCCGACCCTCCCGAACTAAAAAATCAGCAGGGACGAACCGGCCCCAACCCGGGCCCGATTAGCCGCCAAAGAGCCCCCGCGACAACTATCACACTGAGTTTTCGCTATATAGCGCCCAGACCAACCGTCAAAAGAAGAGGAAAAAGGAAAGGAAACACGGAGCTCTAAACCCATGTCCTTTTTTTCCTCTTCTGTCTTCTGACTGCTCTCTATCTTGGTCTAATGAGACAAGGCCCCGTTAATCGATTGCCCGTCGCCCCTCAACCACAAAACGTGCCGTCGTCACGTACCGCTGAGATTTTCCCCCACAAATGACTCTGAGCGTCAAGCGAGCCTCCGTGGAGTGTTTTATAAACCAAAGCTTTTTGGCCGAGCGAGCAAAGAGCGCGCGGGTCCGTTTGTTTTGCGCAGCTGCACGGCGGTAGGCCGGGGCTGCTGCCCCTCGTTTCACCCATTATTTGCCACGACACGAGGTGTAACTGGTTAGGAACACCGTAGTTCATTACATGCGGTATTAGGCCGCTAAACGGCCCTATTTTGATTGTAATTTCACACCTATACACAGCGCGTGGTCGGCTTGTTCCATGGAAACGGAAAAAAAAGGAATGACACCCGTATGATTTGTCGGTCCAAAAAAGAAAGAACGATCTACCGAAGGTATCACCTATACCGGAAATACACACTTAAGCAATCCAAAGGCGAACCATAATTGTTTAAACAAGGGGAAATGTACGCAGATTTTACACTCGTCGTAACCCGTCGGTTTGGTAAGAAAAAAAGAAAAGCTTTTAGAAAATGGTGATTTTTTTTTTTGGCCAACGCTGAATGTGTCCAGATTATTGACACGAGGAAAAGTGCGTATTGGCACTCATGATTGTACGTAGCTTGCCCCCAAAAGGGCCATTAATTATCATTCCCCCCCCCCCCCCCAGTTAATCACTGTATTTTTAACGGCAACAGATTTTAAAAGTGGCTTAATTGCCGTTCCTCTCTCAATTGAGGGGAAAGTGGGACTCAACAAAACACTTAAAAATACCCAAAATATTCAAATAGAAAGAGAAAACTTCTTACAAAGTGTAGCTTTTGCATCAACTTAATGAATCGGAGTTCTATCAAATACGCATCGTACATCAAATACGAGTTTCAGGGGATTCGAGACACCATTTAGTTCGCAAAATCGACTTGAATCAAGCTGTGTTTTTAGAAAATCTGCACTTACACTTTGAAATCGAAATTTGCACAGGTGTACGTTAATGGGGCAGACGAAAATGTTTAAGGTGAAAATGTTTAATGAAAGGTGTGCAAAAGGTTGTGCATAATAGCCTTAATGGTGGAAGTGTTGTCTTTTATTTTTACCGAATCTTTTTAACGAATTTAACAATCACCAGTTTAGGCACAGAGTCCCCGTTTTATTAATATTTAGATTCAATTTCGTTCTAAGTTATTCAACTTGGCAACTGTTTCTATTACGCATGCGCCGTCTTAACGGCAAATATTAAATTGCTACATCATCACAAATATGTGCTACTAATATGAAGTGGGCATCCAAATTACATTGGTAAATTGTATTGTTATCTTGTTTAACAGCAGTGCAAGAAGAACGAGGACCTAGAAAGAAGAAGCCACAACCCAAGCCGGACGCAGCGGGCTCCAGCGGTGACCTGTGCTGTCGGGGCACGGGCGGCGGTTCCCATTCCCGGGCCCTGGCTGCCCACGCCGCGGCCGCTAAGTCCAACCACCCCAAGCCCTCCTTCCGCCCCTTCCAGCCCTGGACCAGCAAGACACCGGGTTGGAGGGAGCACCACGCCGCTGTGGCGGCCCATGCCGCCCAGGCCGCCGGCGGGCCTGGCAGCGCGTTCCGCGTGGTGGCGGTCCGGAGTGGGCTGTTTCCGGGCGGGGTACCGCCCCACCTGTCCCCAACCCTACCGTTCGACGGAGCTGCGGAGCGGGGCATGCTGGTTCCGACCCTACCCTCCCAGTTTGCCGGGTTGAGGATGGAAGACAGAGCAGGTTGGTATATTATTACTGAATTTCACGCATGGCTCCTTTTCTCTTATTACTCTTTCTGTGTCAGCAACTTAACTTTCATCTCATCAGGTGTCAGGAACTCGTCTGTCATCTCTTTCAGAACAAAAATACCAAGCTTTTTAATGCTTTTGTAGCGTCTTTACACCGATTATGAAGGTAATAACCTAACGGTGAAAAAAGTGTCATCCCACGCCAAACATTTCACGTCTACTTTCAAACACATGAACTAATTCACACACACAGAGACAATCATGCAAAAGCTAATCTCGTACACGAATTTTCGACTCTACCTAAATGAATCTCAGACATTGCTGTTTCCGACTAGTCATGGATAAAATAAGCTATGATATTTTCCGTTTTCCTTGCGTTATTCCATCCTTCTATAGGCCCCCTATAGGCCTAAACCAAAACAACAAGATAATCAAAAAGCTATCATCTCGCAAAACGACTTTTTAACTCTTTTCAACTGAATCTCAAACCCTGCGTCTTCATTCTGTCATGAATGAAATGAAAATTTCTTTTGTTTTTCTTGCGTTACCCTCTATGTGCCTTCCTTTTTCCTTGCGTTTCTATATAATACACAAAAACCAAGATAATCAAACGCGCTTTCCGTAAAGTAATTGTGATCAAGTTGTCCTCATCAAATGAATCTCAAACGTTCATGTTCTCATTGTTAAAATTGTTCCATGTCCCCCTCTATTTCGGTTTCCCTCCTTCAGCTCTGCTGGCGAAGCGGCTCGGAGACCGTCCCCCGTTTCCCTGGGCCACCCGCCCGTCAGGAGCCGGCCCCATCCTGGCCATCCCGGCCGCGCCGTCCCCCTGCACGGCGTCCATCGAGGAGATCGCCACACACGTCCTGGTCCACGCCGTGCGGACGTCCCGCTCTGTCCAGCCGTTCCAGGCCCTGGATAGCTGGGACCAGGCCGCGGTCTTGCAGGAGTGCTGGAACGAGTTGTTCCTGCTTCACGCCGCCTACTGGCCCGGGCTGGATTTCTGCGCCCTGCTCAGCCACTCCAACCTGCGGTCGGAGAGCGCCGGAGCCGGGTCATCTAGCTCGTCAAGTGACTCCTCGGTTAGTTTTTTAATTGTTAATCCATAGGAACAAAAATATACATATTTTGGAGCTCATGCATGCATAGATTACACTTTTGTCAGATTTGTTGAAAATTGTAAAACGCTTATAAAGGTGGGTCAAATCGAGGCAGTTTGCCTCGAATTGACCCAAACTGTTATAAGTATTTATTGTCTCAAACATTTCCTTGAATTTCAAGCGTATCTGTGTCCTTAAAAATGCCCAAGAACTTTCAGAGTGGTACCTAAATTCATTACAAGTAACAAATTCGGTGGACATTGATGAATTGCATATCAATAATCTTCTTAAAAAATTACCGTGTATGAATATCATAATTAGATGTATCCTGGAATAATTGATTAAAGATAACACCTGTTTCACATATCGCCCTATACCTGCAGGTAACAATACGGCAGCGAAATGAAATCATCGACGATATCCAAGAGATCACAGTCCGTCTACGAACGTTGAATCTCAGCTCCTACGAGTTTGCATCGCTTGAGGCTATCGTCCTCTTCAAACCAGGTGATTATCTCCAACCTTCATGTCGAATTCTAATTTCAGTACCCCTGACATCTGGGCGACTATCATTCCATGTTTACTTTGAAATGTGTGGCAAAAAATATATAAATACATACGTGGAAAGCATTTCCTGTTTTACATTGCAAACTGATATTTTTGTACAAAAACCTTATGCGCTAGTTTAACGTGCTACATCAGTTCGGCTCTTAAAATAAGAAAAACAGTAGTACAACATCAGTAATGAACAGTGGTCATACTATGACCACTCTCATATTATTATTATTTTATTAAAATATTATAAAATATTATTTTATAGCAGCCAAAATAAATGGTACGAATGACGAAACAACAATGAATACAAGGTAATGACCCCCCCCCCAAAAAAACCCCACCAAAACAAACCGACGATATTGGCGACAATAACGATGACAATAGCACCCACAACGACAATCATAACAACCATAGGAGTTGCAACCACTACAACAACTATACTATACGACAAGCCACAGCCGCAACCACGATACCTACAACTACGAACAACACCAAAATCAACCGCGACATCAGCAGCATTAGGTAGAACGACAACTAGGGCTAACGACAACCGCAGCAGGTATAACAGCAAAACCAACGGCAATAGCAACAGCAACAGAAACTTAAAAACTGCAACTCTCAACTTCACTCTCAACTTCATCCCAGTACACTTTTTTTTTGCTGAAAAGGGCACTGAGAGCGAAATCACCTCTCAGACTTAGTGACTTACGCGGCTACAGCTCAGACTCCTCGGCGCCACCAAAGCCATAATTCCCCGGCCTTTCCCGACACTAACTGCCCAGAGACACCGGAGTAAATGTCCCGGCCATCGATCCCCCCTTAAAATAATCTCATTTACAAAGATGACAAAGTCTTCACGACTGCTTTGTTTTAATGAAACTCACCCGGGCCGCGCGCGTTCCCGCCAAAATAATCGTTATCCCTAATACAATTCGAGGCAGCTAAAAAAAGCCAGTGGCGGAAGCCATTATCCTTTGCATGCATATATATAGAGTCAACCCAGTCTCTGCTGTTCATAAAATGAAGTGCACGCCCATCAGCGATTCGGTCAAAACCTAAAGTTCAAAATGTCTACAAATCCATAGATTTCGTTGTAAATACACATCTTTTGGTTTTATTCCAATACCGCAATCACTACAATAATCATGTTGGGTTCAGTCTAAGAAGGCCTCCATCAAGCGTTTTAACATACCAGCATCTCGAAGTCATTTGGTATGCCTGATGTTCGCTAACATCACCCTCTTTCAACTTCGAGTATCGAATCAGGACCACCGAGTCGATATCTGTCCATTTACTTAAGACCGTGCCTTTTCTCTTGAGGTCATCCCCAGAGAAATGAGCCGCATTCGCGATGTCTTCTCTGTTTTGCAATCTGTACCGTTCGGGGGGTTGATCCATACGGCAAGGACGGAAGCCGGGTGACTAAAAAGGGGGCGGCCACCTCGCCACCGGCCCTAATTTTCTCTCCTGGACTCGGGGATGGTGTAGCAATGTTGTCCCGATCTGTACGGAGAAGTGGACTTTGAGTTCAAGTGGAATTTGACTAAATTCGGTCCCTTTCCTTCTCTCTAAAGGTTTGGGAACCGTCAAGGATTTTTATATGTTTCTAGAATTTACTTTGGTCGCTTCATGAGGCGACAATTTAAAATTAAAAACAAACAAGCTTTTATCTATAAGTATGTAATTAAATAAAATAAAGTTGTAATTCATTAAAAACTTTACTATAGAAAAAATTAAACTATTAATTTTGAAAAGAAAAAAAATTGAGATTTTAAAGTTTTCTATCATTGCCAACAACCGTTCGAAAATATTAGCAATAGCTGATCTGGTCTCATAATGCTTTTTAATAAAACACATTTAAATGAAATAAAGTCGGCATCTTCTTTTCATGAAAGTAAATTCTTGGAGGAGTATTTCAGACACCTGTAGAAGTTTCAATTAAAAACCGATCATTATTTTTGTTTGAACATCAATTAAAACCTTGTTTCTAAACGGCGCATTGTTGGTATTTGAATTTTGATTTCCCTATATACCTTTTTTTGGCTGCATGCAGGTGCCGTCTGACAAAATCCGAACAGCGCTCATTTTAAAACTCAAAAACAACCTTAGCTACAGTTGTTTTGTTTCGTATCAATGAACTTGTACTTTTGGTGACCGCTTTTAAAAAGAACGAATTCACACCAAGCTCACTACACCAGCCATCAGCCCCTTACGCAGGTTAAGCCTCGAAATCAGGTCACTAACACGATTTAAACTGGACTAGTCACTGACGCATACCCGACCCCACACCCCGCCACGTGCCGAGTTTTACAAAACCTAGTCCCCCAAAAAGAATCGGTGTTTTTGTCTTGTGGGCGTCAAAAATATTAGTTGACTTGTTGCGGAGCACGGTAATCCTTTCACGAGGCGCGTGCCGTAGGAATGGGCACGTGCCCCGGCAACAGGGCAGCACGAGCACGCTGGTGGCACCACCCGTGACCCACAAAATATTACAAGTTGGTGGTAAAAAGCAAACACAACTCGAGATTGTATGACCTGGATTAGGACTACTGAGTTAAAAGCGCTCGTTGTTTGTCCGAAGTCCAAATAAAATGACTAGGTATACTTAGTGGCAGATATGGAGACATTGCTGCAGCACATTAGCATGGCGTTTAAAAAAATTGTTGATTAAAGTAATACGTAAGGTTGCAGGCCAGTAAATCGGTCCAAAATTGCCTACGCCGGCCAAATCACGATTTGCAATTCTTCGGTATTTGAGTATATTGTGGACCATGAACTTGAGGGTTTGTAAAACATATGGGTGGAGGCGGTGCACAGGACTGTGAGCTTGTAGTTCTGTGCAATTTGGATGAATTTGGGGCCCTAAAAGCGCTCTATTTTGCAATGGAGTGTAGGCATCTTTTTTTTCAAAATGGCGATGGGCTTCGGGACTATTTACAGGGGTGATCATCTTCGGATGGCAATTTCTCCTAAAAGTCATCAGTTAACCCTCAAAAATTGAAAAGAAAATGAAAGATGATGAAACAAGCTTTAATTTGATGTGTGTCTCGAACACCTTAGAGAGTTGTGAGTAATTTTCCTGAATTTCTGAAGTGGGGGCATTTATCATTGGGGTCTATGGCAGTTTATTTACTGCAACCGTAAAGGAACGTTGGTAACTACCCGGAAAGGGACCTACCGATTTAACGAGAAAAAAATCTTGATCTGAGGTGAAGATAGGAATGGTACCAATTACCATGTGAAATTATTTCCGCCTACGTACCGGTACTAGTTCTTTAGTAAGTAGACTCAAGCAAGTGGAAACGTATCTCATCATTAACCCAATAGCTGGTCACGTAGGTGGACATAGAATCATAAGTGCATTTAAGTGGTGTAGCACTTGACGCCGATGATATATCAAGTCTTAAATCAGAAACGAAAATAACGAAATCAGATATCAAATACATTGCCCTGGCCTTAGCTAAATTCTAGAAGGAATTCTTGCCCACAAAGGGTCTTATACCAATTTAATCAACGAAGCGTCTCTTTGTCCTCAAACTGTACCGGTCAAAAGAACAATTAGACCGGTAAAACGCAGTGCCGGTTCGCGGTCGCGGATGCATCGTCCGTTGTATTGTAATAACCACGCAAATGTCCCGATATCAACTGGTTTATTCAGCCAGCCCTAGGGTTGTTTAAAGACCCAAACAACGCTAGGCGTGGCGGGCTCAATTTTGTCCTGGTTCCGTTCTTTGACAGTAAAATGCTGCGCCCCTCGGCTGCCTATCGCGTCCGCGAGAAAAATGAGAATCGCCAAAGCAATAAAAAATGTGGTTAATCGGTCTTGTTTAATTGAATTAGCGGTCGAAAAGGGGACGGTTAAAACCCACAAACCCCGCCGGCTTATAAGACATTAGAAAGAACGAAACTGTTGCAATATATTTTGTTGCGGATATCATCAGTGCGCTTTGAGCGGTAGATTCTCATTCTTTCTCCGTATGCGGTGACAGCTGAGATGCGCAGCCAGATTTAACGCTCGGTGCGCGACTCAGTGTCTCTCAAACCAGCGGGGAATGTCGAGCATTTGGGCCGGAAAATAACACGAATTCTCCGGTTGAATTCAAGTTCAGTTGGTGGTCTTTTGTGAGTTGTCTAGACACTAGCCGTGCCCCGCCGCGGACATAATGTTTACGCATCTTCCCAAGTGAATTGTCGAAGAGTATCGATTCAATTTTAGTCCTACCAAGCTTGTGTGAAATGCACGATTAATTGTGGAGTTAAAAATTGTAACCATATATAACCTTAACTTACTTCAAATGTTATCATTTTAAACGACATAGCACATATTAAAACCTTTGACTGTCATTTTCAAACCTAAATTTCAATTTGAAACATTGGTGTTGTAAATGCGAGCTTGAGTATTGTACGGTTGCAATTTGAAACTGTTGTTGAAAAGCAACAACCAATTCGCATGACTAAAAAGTGAAATGTAGATGTTGTCGATTCCTTGAATATTTGTCATTGTTTATCTGATTAAAAGTGAACAGAAATGATGAAACGCAAAACACTTTTTAAGATTAAAGCTCTTCAAACTTTGAAAAGCAAACTTTATTTACAATTGTTCTCCAACGTTCGTTTGAACTTTCTTTCCACCCTTTTAGTCCATTGCTTGAAACAATTTAATGAGGTTACCTTCTTGGAAAAATAAACTAACCAACAGAGTAACGCTACCAAAGATTTCGTAGAAAAAGGCCTCCGTCTTACATAAAAATAAGGGTGTTAATATCCATTTTGGCAAAATATTTTGCCAACCGCGGTTAAAATTTATGCCATCTTATCTAATCGTGGCAGCCCATACACACACAGCGCTCAGTCTTTACAAAAGAAAAGTCGATATATTCTGTCCTTTGAACATGTTCGTTTTTCTCAATTTTTATTTTTTCCCCTTTTTCTTTTGTTTTCTTCTTTTCCAGATACCACCAAGACACTCAGGGAAAAGAGCAAAGTAGAGTTCTTCCGCGACCAGGCGCAGGTGGTTCTCGCGCAGTACGAGAACGTGGTCCACCCCGAGAGCCCCGCGAGATTTGGCAAGCTCCTGCTGACCATGCCGTCCCTCAAGCGCGTCACGGGCGAGGACCTGGAGGAACTGTTCTTCCGTAGGACTCTGGGTCAGGTCCAGATCGACAAGATCTTGGACCGAGTTTAGCGTCGATTTCGTAGGTCAGATTCCTCGAAGCCTCGATCGGAGTTCACACGATGTACCTGCTGCACGTGGTAGGCACCAGACTCATTTCCACAAGAGCATCGTTTTGAAGACTACAATGCTTTAGCTACGTGTTTCCCACCACTATCACAGTTTGCATCATAACGTCGGATCCCCTGAAGCCTTGAGCGAAATTCGCACGATTTTAAATCGCTGTATGTTCGGCACCAGACTTAGTGCATCGAGAGCCTCGTTTTAAAGACTACGACACTATGTTGGGTTCATGGACGGCACAGCATTTATCACTGTTTGTTTCTTGCACCGCCGGCCGCGGGAGCCAGACTAGGCAGACTAGGCCTACGTCTTTTCCCGTGTTGCCCAGTTTAAACTTAGGGCAAGTTAGGGCGAGTTCGCGCAAGAACTATTGTTGACCAATGGTTAACCATAGTTCGGCTAAAGTTAGCCCGAACTCTGTCTAGTCGACGGCAAGGGCGGATCCAGAACACAATTTTTTTGGGAGGGGCCAAAAAAAAAATTTGGTCCCCCCAAAAAGTGGGTCCAAAAAATTACGGCGTGGGGTTCGGGGCCCGCTTAAGGGCCCGAATTTTTTTTGGATTCTAGATGCTCTGTGGTGCGATCTGAGACAATTTCTGACCACTTTAACCAATGTTTTTTTGAGGAAAAGATGGTGGTGTACTCATTGCCTGCCTTTATGGCGTTGTCATATAAAAAAAAAAAAAAATGGTTTCGTTTTTTTTTTTGGGGGGGGGGGGCATTGCCCCTTTGGCCCCCCCCCCCCCCCCCTGGATCCGCCCTTGGTCGACGGTGGTTGACTACGCTAGTCGACTTTTTGGAACCAACCTACTGGGGTTGGTTGCATCGCTGGTAACCAATAGCCGCGCGCATACATAACGTACAGCAGGGATCCAGGATCCAGACGCTGTATATGTCCTGCATGCTTGAAAGAATGCGATCAAACTCAACATATACACAGAGTAGCAGTTTCTGTTCATTGGAAGAAAAAGGGTAGAGTTCACGCTGTTCATTATCTGCCTTTTGCCATCAATATGGACCGCTGTGAAGATAAATAATATATATTGTTATGAACTTAATTTGTGGGCGTGGTTATATACCCACGCCGTGTGAATGTTATGGCGTCTACGATGATCAAAATGTAACAATAGCATGGCAGTGGTATACGGACTTATGTAGAAAGAATTCTAGAGGTGTTCGCGTTCAGAACGCGGTATATAAAAGTATTGTAATTATGTACAAGATTACGAGACTTGAAGCAAGGATCTTTAGCCCTTATTTTGTTTGTCCTTGCTTGTTGCATTTTTTTTTATTAAACGCCAACATAGGTCGTATGATGCGTGTTTAACTCGAGATTCAAATTATTCATTTTTTTAGCAGAGCAGTTTTCACCACTTGGAAAATGCCAATGAATGGAAAATATTACGTTGATTCATTTTAAAAGAATGGGACTAATTGTTTTTATTGAAATATCAATTGTGATTATAACATTGACACAGACAAATTGTTTGACGTGCTGAATGTAATGAAAGTTCATTTGAATGTATGTGTTAGGACTAATGCCGAGCACAATTCTTTTATAAAGTAGAAAGGATTTATCTATCGGTTTATCATGCTAAATGTCATTCATTCTTCTGAATATGAATTTGTCTTAGGACTTTTAGTATACCGTTCGAGTTATCGAGTTTACCGGTTTTTCTCAGAACACCAAAATTAATGAAACTTACTAAATAGATCCAATGCGTCCCTTGCCATGTAAAGCTTCATTATCTAATTAAAAAATTAATTTCGGTGCAATTTGTTTTTGTAATACAAGTTAAAATTTAATCTTTTGTCTTGTGATTTATTTATTTATAACAAAAAAATATTATCGACGATAAGAATTGTTTTAAAAGATTGTTTAATTTATGTAAATATGAACGAAATGTTATGTTTTCAGAGATGCATATTAAAGGAAAGAAATCGGGAAAAAGTTGAAAACAATAAATTTTGAATGCCGTGTGTTTTTATTTACAATATTTTACATGCGAGGGGCCGGAGGAGGTTCCGAAGAGATAGGTTGGGATGGCTAACCATGCATCCCAGTGCTAATCAGTGTTGAGTATTCAGACCACTTGGGTTGTTCATTCGTTGACTGCAACGCCTCATCGACTCCCTGGAAAATCTTGAGCAACAACATCTGAAAAATACGGGGATGATGCAGAAAACATGGATTGTGCAAATGACTTTTCTTTTTCTACTAAGGCCCCCTTTTTAGGGAGTTCATTAAGAAAAGGTTGAGGTCGAAGTACCCAACTACTACGTCCAGGATTCATGCTAGCATGTAATACTAAGTGAAAAGAAAATTACTATATTTGATTGAAAGCAGGCTCTAGTTTAAAGACAAGGATACGGCACTGAGTAGGGGCGGGTCTAGCTATCGAGAAACGGGGGGGGGGGGTGGGGCGTTATATGAAAGGTGGGTGAGTCTTTGGCACGAACTACACTAGGGTCCGGAATGGCCGGGAAAAAAGTTCAAATCGAGAAAAAAAAATTCTCCTGCATTCTAAGTCAATTTGAAAATAAATTTAGGAGCTGAAGCATTCCATGTGTTATTATTGGCCCCATTTTACTAATGTCATAACACTAGTCATCAGCTGAACGGGGGGGGGGGGGGGGGACGACAATGGCGCATCCGGGGGGGGGGGCAACAGGCGCCCAATGATAATGATAATGATGATGATGATGATGATGATGATGACAACATGTCTTAAAAAGCCTCAACGCAATCAGTACTGAACGAGATAATGGGGAACGATGGTTGTATGTTTCGATATAATGCTGCATTCAACCTGATTCTGGAGTCCAGTCATCTTGCAGAGCGAGGCAGGTTGTCGGGTTTGTCAAGTGGGGGCGCCATTCAAACTTTGTGAATCCCGGATCTTTTCTTTCATTCCTGGCGTTCTATTTTCACGTTTTCATTTAAGGGAAGAGCTGAACCGTACAGGGGACACGTTTTCCACACAAAAGCTGGCAGTTTTGTCTTTCAATTCTTTAGTTCCAAATTTAACTGACGATCGGTAAATTGATATAAAAGCACCAAAATATACGAAATATTAAACATGCACCAGGACTTGATAAACGTGAAGTCAATATTGTGTTGTTGGATTGAATGAGTCTTGTACAGTCTTAATATACATGGTGGTTGATGGAAAAACAAGATAAGAATCTTCCCTTAACACAATGATTGAAGTAAAAATATCATCATCGTGCAAAATATCTGCGATTTTTCTATTTTCAAATCAATAACTCTGTGCTGGCGACAAAAGCCTTTAAGTCTCAAGTCCTTTGACGATCTGGCCGGACACCCACATTTACAGACACGAAAATATCTGTTAACAACTGCACCCCGCAAGAAATTAACTAAGATATTTAAATTTATTTTATACTCTTTTCAATAATATAGATAATACCATACTTTCTCCATTCTTTAAGAAATTACTATAAGTTTGCAATTTGCGTCGGGGTGATGTAAATTCAATATTGTAAATTCAATATTTTGCCTTTCACCGATGCACTAGTAAGCAGGAGGTTGTGGGTCCGTCCGAGTCCCACCCGATTAGTTTATCATTTTTTGTTTGTTTAAGTTGACTTGTAAATCCCACTTTTTACTGGAATTTGTTCTAGTTGAAATTGCTCTTTCGGAGCTTTGCAAGAGATTCGACAGTTTTTGTATAAGCCTACTATAACTATTTTCAGGGGAAAATAATACAGTTCTTTATGTTTAAACTCATCAGCCCTCTTAAAAACTGGATTTTTTTCGATTGAACCAAAAGAGTTTTTCCTCCAAATGGGTCTCCCAGATGCCCCTGTAATCGCACCCCAATTGCGCCCCTGATTTTTGTTTTATACAACATTATAAAACATGTAAGGAAAGAAATTAATTTTATTGCACAAAATAAGCCTGCGACATAGAGGATAAAAAGAGAACAAATGCCACCGATCGTGTGCTTTTCACGACGTGATTGCTACCGATGTAGTACGAAGACGGAGTATAGTGACCGGGTGCGCAGCGATGCACTGCGCCGTGCCAGAACACCTTGAGCCCGGTAGGCAATCTCTGCAGAGGGACGCTCGCTCGGGTTAGATACGGAAATTGAGGTTTTTAATAGTCCTCTTAAATAACATGCTTGGACTGATGAAAAAAATATCTGATGCGTTGGCTGAAACAGAATACAAGGATTAAGTTGATACATAGTTACTCCCTTTTTCATTTTGGAGCTATATAATTTGTTTTCTTTGATATGCAGTTTGCACCAAGCGTTTGTTTGGATAAAATTTCTACGAAATCAAACGATTATCACGGATGTCACGATATTCTTATGCAAGTCCAGTTGTGACAAATGTTATATTGAGAGCAATTAAAAAAAACCATAAAATTGATGCACTGTTTAAAATATTATACAAGGTTTTGGGCACGAAATGGTCTCTCTTTTTTGTTGTTTTAACCGACATATCAAAGTTGATCACAGTCAACTTCTATTGACTTTAAAGGAATAAGTAATAATATAGTTTTAGTTTGTTTTTCTCTTTGTACTTTTTTCACTCTTTGTAGTTAAGTTCACCCTGTCTAAAGTCTCATGAAACACAGTGGATAACTATAATGAGATCACAAATCACGCACCTCGACCAATTAAAAATGAACTTGAATAAACGAAAGATAATAATTGTCAAAAGTCATCTTTTTTTACTGTGTTCCGAAGAACTTTATGAGCGCGTCGGACGGGGCGATTTCGACCGTGTCGTAGTGCAAATCGACGGTATCCTGCTTCTTTGTGCACTCCGTTAACTCGCTATCTGGTAGATCGAATCGATTGCTGTACTGACCTTGTACTGGCCATGTAGGTGTACTGACCATGGTCTTCAACAAATGCCATTTTTCCCTCACAAAGTTTGAGCTTTCAATATTTAATTTCAAAGAAAACAAACCTGTGGGTTTTTTTTTATGTTGCTCTACTGCGTCGATGCAAAAGCAATTAAAAAACAATGTCTACTTTTCGTGGTGAATCCCGAAAATAGCACGGACATTTCATCTTTCAGCACTTAATTTCATCATGGTTTCAATTCATATCTCACGGTAAAGTATACAGTTAATCAAATATAAGCTGTTTCGAGTTAGACTGAGGGCACTTATGAATAATAGCTACCTTATTGCTCATTTTATCTATTTTTTAATGCCATTATTGCATATTTTTATCTTTAACATAACTGGTTGGGGTTCCACCAAAGCTTCCACCGACATTTTCCTTTTTTATACAAAGGCATTTCCATCATAAGCGTAACTGCACGCCCCTCCCCTCGGTCACCAAGCCATACCCCACCCCAAGCCTCACCCCTCAGGTGCCCCTTGTTCAAAATTCAGCGAAGAAAATAAAGGATCCCCTTAACTCAAAATGACCAACCCCAC